TAGTTGCATATAATCAATAAAACACATTTGTCTCGCTGATTGTTTCGCCTTGATTAGATTACTCATTCTTGAGACTTCTCTTAGATAATTCAATTGAGATATCAGATCGAAAGCATTCAAAAAGTTGTAAAAGTAGTAGCGTTTTATCGTTCTTTGAGCAAATAATATCTTTTTGAAATTCCAGAAGTTAATTTACAAGATATTTCGAAGGCGAGATAACAGCGCAAAAAAAACGAACCGAATTCGATCCAGTGCGAGTGCGCTTATTAAGCTGAACCAGTGGCACTTCCTGCTGTTCAAGCCCATGTTCTGTCTAAATAAAAGATTACGAGAAATATTAGTGTCTGCGTTTGAATTTTAAAAAAGATTACTTTTGGAGCAGCCGCAAAAACTTCGTCTTCCTGGGCATTGTTAACTGCGGCAACTTCATCGTGATTGGATTTGAGAGACTAAAGCGAATGGCTAATTAGCTAGTGATATCAAGTTCGCTTTTAATTTCTAGAAACACGGAAATTATAAGGAAACTACCTGTTTACTGATGGACCTTGCCAGCATTGCAGGCCATTCATTGGGAGCATTCAAGAAGTCGGTGGATTGCATACTCTAAACAATTGCCTCCTAGAGAATAGGTTCGTTCCTCCTTCCAACTTTTGAGATGGTTTTTAAGGGATTTTTATTCCTTTTCGATAGGTAATCGATAAATACTGGTCATGATGATTGAATGTTTAAGATAATTTGTAATAGCATCGGAAAACTTGTGGCACATCAAGAGCAGGAATCTAAAAGTTAATTATTGTAAACCAAACAATACGAACCTTTGACTGATTTTGATGAGGAATTATAACGAAACTAACAGTAACTATTCCCTCCCTCTTGTGAGCTATATTAGTATTTTTAAAAGTGCACTTGAGAGATAGTTTTCTAGCTTTATTTAAATCAGAAACCAATATAACTCGGAATCTGTCACTTTTGAAAATCTAGTCACACTATCGTGGCGGTACCACCTGCTGACTCCGCCACGCTGGCGTTTTGCCATGTTGTCTGTTATTTGATTTCATTTCTGTTTGACTTTATTTCTAAGGCGGAGAGAAATCTGAAGATTCGTAATCGTCTTCTGATCACTGTTTTTATATACGCATTTTTAAAGTCTTTTTTAGTCAGTCAGCGTCATAGTGAAGAAGGGGAAGCACGCGCAAGGTAACCAAACTGAGTCACGTTCGCATATCTTTGACACTTCAACTTCCTTCCCAGTGTTCCTTTTTGTGCCATAAGCAAGAATCCTTCCCTTATTATGCTAAGGCAAAAAGCGCTGAAATAGTTGAGCATATTGACGTATTTTTATACGAGCGTTTCTCATATTTTGTCGCTTTCCGCCCTACATCATGGAAGAATCATGGTGATTAGCCGACGCAGGCACATGAGCCACTATAACCGCCTGAGAATTGGAAATAATCAATACAACTTGGCAAAGCTCTAGCGGGACGGAGCCAGCAGTGGTCGAGCCACGATGGTGTATCTGTAGGGTTTGTAAAGTGACATATTCCGAGTTAGAGCGGTTTCTATTTACTAACCAAAATGATACATCCAAACATTTGGGAGATCGTTTACAAACGGTGGTTCGGCATCCAATTTTAGCAATCAATCTCATTGCAAGCTTGATGAGCGTTTCAGAAAAAGTAATACAATTGGGCTATGAAGAAAGGCTACGACATATTACAAAATCGAAAAGATTTTAGGATTTTGAGAAAGGAACCAAGAATCTCAACACAATCACACATGAAATTTAAGATAGCATGTTGTCATTTTTGATTATAGTAACATAGATCCAATATCAATATATCTGCGAATAAATTCTTTCAATTGACATTGAGTACAAAAGCACCGCATGCTACCCTGAAAGCTTCTTCTTGCCCACTGTCCATATAATTTTTCGACCGCCATGAACAGATAGAACAAAATTATGTACGTTAAAAAGTACTAGCATTCTTCTTAAATGACACATTTAGCACTAGTTGTCCAAAAATCGAAAAAAAACCCAGTTGTTTTCAAAAGAAGTCAAATCGGAATGAGGTATCCATATAATAAATAATGAACAAGAAGATGTAAAATATGCTCCCAAAAACATCTAAAAGCGTCCTGCGCGAACAGGCGTTTCAACTCAACATGTAATTACAAAGGCTCACCAGTTCATTTGAGCATAAACAAGTTCATACGAGAGAACATGTTAGATACTCGAGAAACAAGGATATTACCTGTCTGCTCATACTAGCGCGCGATCGAAGGCTTGTACGTCCATCAGAAGGTGGATGTCCACCTACGTAGAAGAATTCGTCGTTGTTTGTATGAATAGATAACTGAAGAAAATTGTAGAATATTTATCAAATAATTACTCATTTTGATAACAAGTAAATTTGGCATCAGTGCTTCCGCAACTTTCAATTACTTTTATATTTTGGTCTGTATGATTCACAGAAGGAATGTTTTCGTCATGCAAGAGGTTCGCTCTCATCGAGCATGCCTATCAGTTGGTTATCATTATCAGCCTAA